GTCACCCCTGAAAACTCAAACAAAATGTCTTGTTAGCAGTAAAAAGTGTTCCGATCCTCTAAAAAAATATTCATCATACGAAACATAGCAGCTTTATACTGCTGTTTTACGCTGATATTCAACCCATTTGTGCTGCAGCTAGAACTTAATCACAATGCTTAGACATATTAGTGGTCGCAATGAACTGAAATAAACTCCACTATTCGTAGTTTTATAAAAAAAAAAGTGCCCTTAGTAATTTGTGTTGCATTGACCCGGTAATTTGTCCGCGACGAACTATGACACATTCCTTACAGTAATCTGCAAATGAAGACAGATATGTTTTCATTAGCGAAAGCAGCCGAGCAGTAAGTAGTTAAGCTGAGACTGACGCCCTCGTCTAATGACGTTCGTTTTAATTCAATTTGTTCTCACAGCTGCAATTGCTAACGTTTTATGAGGTAATGAAGTGCAGAATAAACTTCTCAAGTCTATTACGTGTGATAATGTTCTCAAATTAATTAAATTTTGTCGTGGTAGATATATATGGCTGTAACACGAATGGTTGGCTCGACTGGGACAGGACACGCTCTCACAGAATAGTTGCGTAAAATAGCAACTTAATGCTGCTGTGTTTCATATGGCGAGTATAGAAAACCGCAGACCCTTTTAAATGGAAACGAAGCATTCCATCTTAGTTCTCAGATCTTAATCTTAATCAGAATCTTAGTTCTCTGACAACGCATCTGCATTTAGATTCTTAATCGAGATATATGTAGATGTCTACGGATTACAGCATCTACTTACCATCAGGTGGACTGCGCGCTCGTTTATAACCCTATTCTTTAAAAAAAGTTTGTAAATTGCAGCTAATAAATTAATATTATGTTATTAAACAAGATCATGTAGTGGTGGCGTAAGTGAACTTCTCACCCCACCCCATTACGTCTGTCGTTATTTATCTACTTATTTCACTATTTACTATTTACTTAGTGGTCAGCCACCGCAGAGTCTAGATCACCTGAAGATGCCTAGTGTAGAGGCGAAACACGTGTCGTATTGTCGTCAGTGGTGTGTCTTTCCTAGTGTAGTGGTGTTGGTAGTAGTGGTGCTGGGATTAGTGGTGACGGTAATAGTGCTCGCAATTGAGGGAGGGCGGGAGGTGCTCTTCAAATTAGGTAAGGCACATCATTTTATTTTATCGAGCGGATGTACACGAAGTAATTTTTTACCAACTTTAATATAATGGACTTCCGCAAAGTAACGCCTGATTCTATTAATTATTCTATTTCTATTTCTAAAATCTACCTCCAATGGGAGAGGCTCATGCCCAAAAGTGGGCCTTTTTTAAACAAATTTATGAAATAGGAAATACAATAATGAGGTTAAGACTAAAATTTAGTCTTTTTTTGTAAGTAAAAACTCATGATGGTTAGTTGGTAGATAGCTAATTTTAGTAATATCGAGTTACCGCGAGGGTTAAGTAGAAATAACTTTAACAAGCGGTTTCGTCTTATGTAGATGTTTTTTTTACAAATAACATATATTTTATTGTGGTGGCCCTGCCGCCTCTTTTCCCAGATTTCGTTATTGTTCTTATATCTTATAATAGTATCGCCGGCTATGCCTAGGTAGATTTACGATAATCATCAGACCATTTGTTTTATAAATTTTTCGATTAAGTCTCCACGTTTTTGATAAAATATAGCCCAGGCCGCTCCTGACATTGCTCTCTATCAGTTCGTGAAGTTTCGTAACATTTGGTTTAGCCATTCCAAAGATTAGCCCAGACTGACAGAAAGGACAGACGCACTTTTAGTAATGGTTTTTCATGTCTTAATGACATGCAAATAACTCTTTCAGCTCAAAGGCAGTTTCAATATTACAGACAGACACATTAATTTTATTTATTTGTGTATAGATGAAAACTAATTTAGTGGCCTCTGTTGGGTTAGCTTCATTACTTAACACTTATTTTGTTAGCGGTGTTAGAACCACGCGGCAGGTTTTGATGTTGCACGTATGGGCCGGCTCGAACCGGGCTGGTACCACGACCTCACAGAATACCGGCGTGAAGTGGAAGATCTGCTCCTGCGTTTCGTCTGGTGAGTGCAGGTGGCCTGAGGCCCCATCCCCCCCCCCCGCCCGCATCAACATGGTAGCGGAATTAAATCAAAAACTACCCCAGGAGGGTACCAGCACCCCTGAAGAATCCCTCGCTAAGCGTCCACGACCATGCTACTCCACACCTGAGCGTGGGTGCTCGGGCTGTCCCGCGTATTCCCGGGGGGAGGGGGGGGCAACGTGGCAACAACGCAACTGAGCAACAAGACTAAGGCGACCCCTGCTACGCTATCCGTGAATTTCAGCAACATCAGGGGACTTCACTCGAACCTAAACGCCGCTCTATAGGTCCCATAGCGGTAATGCCGAAACAAACCGACCCATCGACCACGTCCAAATGGCTACAGATTCTTTGCTACAACAGGTCCCATCCGCAGAGATCGTGATCCTTGGCGATTTCAACGCTCACCACGCCGAATGGCTCGGTTCACATTTAACCGATCATGCGAGGAGATCTGTTTATGACTTTGTCTTGGCATATGGTCTGACACAACTGGTTACTTCGTCTACGCGGATCCCAGATGTGGAGGATCATACACCTTCCCTGTTGGACCTTCTGCTGACCTCTCATCCGGACGGATATCAGGTTTCCATCGATGCCCCTCTCGAACGCTGGTGTTCTACAAGACTGCGTGCTATCACCAACGCTGTTTCTTCTGCATATCAATGATATGTTGCAAACCGGTAACACTCATTGCTATGCGAATGACAGCACTGGTGATGCTCTATACACCGACCGTGTCAATATTTCTCGGGAAAACGTCGCCGAGTACCGGAACAAACTTGTGTCTGAAGTCGAGTCTTAGGTGAACAAAGTCTCGGATTAGGAGTTTAAGACACAAGTTTGCGCATTAACCACGGGGAGTGCTCTGAGGAATTGTTCGGATTAATCCCAGCCGACAAATTTCACGAACACACATCGCGGCAGAACTCCCGATACCATGCACACCATCTGGATGATTGGCGGTCCACCACTGTGCGATTTAGAAGATGTTTTCTTCCTCGCACAACTTCCTTGTGGAATCAATTACCACCAGCGATTTTTCCGGACCGATACGACTTAGGGACCTTCAAGAAAAGATTCTACTCTTTTTTAAAAGGCCGGCAACGCATCTGCGATTCCCCTGGTTCCCCTGGTATTGCAGTTGTTCATGGGCAGCGGTAGTCACTTACCATCAGGTCAGCCGCATGCTAGTTTGTCTCCTCTCCCATAACAAATAAAAAATTAATACTTAAAACAAATTTTTACTTTGCTTTTATGAGCGTGCAGTATGGGGACGCAAACAACAACGCTTGTTTTCCACGTCACGCTGCACGCTCCGCCAAACGCTCTCTACTTACCTAAATATGCCTTACCTAAATATTCCTAAGCAAAAAATTTTTTTTTTCCAATAATGTTTACTTCATGTTAATCCGTGTTTATAATAAACTACCTAATTTCTTCAAATCACTTCATGTAAAGATGTTTAAAAATTTCTTTTAGACAAGTACTACTACTCAACTAACGATTTCCTAAATGAAACATTTCACATAAATCGATTTAAAATTTTGACATAAGTTATTGCCTCCTTAATTTTTAAAATAATTTCATGACACCTATAATCTACGTATATTAATTTATTATTCTTCCAATATATCTTTAAATATTTGCACGCCCGGAACACCGCAATACTATGGACTCCAACCTATATTTAGTAACATCATTGCAACAACATTCTAAAAAATAAATTAATTATTACGACCCTGAACCTAACACACAATCCACCTGATGATAAGTGAAGACTGTGACCCTAATTAATCCTAAGTAAGGATCAAAATGCAGATGCGTGAGGACTATGGTAAATAAAATAAAAAAAAACTGGTGGTAAATAAAATAATGACTTTCAATAAGTATTATGTAATAATCCATATTGAATAAAAATCATTCTATTCTATTCTATTCTATTCTATTCTATGGTTGAATGCCTCGTTTCTCGGTTCTCTACACTCACCACACGAAACACATTTCACGCTAGTATTGTGTAGAGCATGGTCATTCCCAAATCAGCCATAGCACACCTCAGCTGTACCACGTACAAAAACATACAGCAACTTAATATGTCTGTTTTTTATATAATAAGGCTGACAAACGAGCACATAGTCCACTTGACGGTAAGTGAATGTCCTGGCTCTTATCTACCTTTACCCTCAATTAAGAATCAAAATGAAAATGCTGGAGATCTTAGGACTAAGATGAAGTGCCTCGTTATAAGTATAAAGGATCTCCATTTCTCAAACGTAAAAAGTATAAAGGATTCATTTTAACAGTGGTAGAGCCACGCGGCAGCTTTTGCTGTCGCACGGATGGGCCGGCTCGAACCGGGGTGGTACCACGACCTCACAGAATACCAGCGTGAGGTTTACCTCTACGTTTCGCTTCGTGAGTGCAGGTGGCCGGAGGCCCTTTTTACTGGAAATGTGGCATTCCATCTTAGTCCTCACGGGTGACAACGCATCTGCATTTTGATTCGCAAACGAGGATAGATGTAGATGTCTATGGGCCGCAGCAACCACTTACCATCAGGTGGACTGTGTGCTCGTTTTTCACCATTATCCTATAAAAAAAATTAAGAATCAAAATGAAAATGCTGGAGATCTTAGGACTAAGATGAAGTGCCTCGTTATAAGTATAAAGGATCTCCATTTTTCGTCACTACACCATACGAAACACAACGGTATAATGCTGCTATTTCACGCTAGTATTCTGTGCAAGCATGGCCCTTCCCCGGTTTAGCTGACTCATTGATGCTGCAGCTATAATATGCTTCAGCTCTACCACCTACAAAAACATACAGCAACTAGACATAAGACGTCTGTCATAAATATACAGTAACCAGGAACTGTTCCTCCTGCCGCAGACGAGGTCCGCACGGGCACGTACCGCCAGCTATTTCACCCGGAGCAGCTGATCACTGGCAAAGAGGACGCGGCGAATAACTATGCGCGCGGACACTACACCATTGGCAAGGAGATCGTGGACGTCGTGCTCGACAGGATCAGGAAACTCGCCGACCAGTGTACCGGCCTGCAGGTAGGGAATTACTTAATTTATACGATTGTTATCACTTGGTAAATCTCCAGCTTCGTTTTTGTTATTTGTTAAACACTTATAAATTTAGTTGCAACGACAATCACAATATTTATTTAAAATTATTATTATACTAATTATAAAACCAAACGGTTTCGCCTAATGGCATCAGAGTATATACCCCGTATAGATATACTACTCGTATAATTTGAAATAAATATTGTGAAACTAGTGCAAGTGTTTTAATCAAAATCACATAAATTACTTAATACTTGCATATTTTTTTCTTTTTTTATAGGAGAGGGGGCAAACGAGCATGCGGCTCACCTGATGGTAAGTGACTACCGCCGCCCATGAACAACTGCAATACCAGGGAGGGAATTGCAGATGCGTTGCCGGCCTTTTAAAAAGGAGTAGGCTCTTTTCTTGAAGGTCGCTAAGTCGTATCGGCCCGGAAAAATCGCTGATGGTAATCGATTCCACAAGGAAGTCGTGCGAGGAAGAAAACATCTAAATCACACAGCGGTGGACCGCCAATCATCCAGATGGTGTGGATAGTATCGGGAGTTCTGCCGCGATGTGCGTTCGTGAAATTTGGCGGCTGGGATTAATCCGAACAATTCCTCAGAGCACTACCACGGGGGTAGATGCGAAAGAAAATGCAAAGGGATGCAACATCTCTTCGCAGTGCCAATGAATCGAGCCGATCGGAAAGGACTCGGTCGTCGACGATTCGAGCCGCTCTGCGCTGGATGCGGTCAAGTGGAAGGAGCTGCCACTGGGGAGGCCCTGCCCAGAGATGGGAATAGTATTCCATGTGAGGCCGAACCTGCGCCTTGTAAAGTTGCAGGCGGTGTGCCGGCATGAAATACTATCCCGCTCTGCTGAGCACGCCAAACTTTTTAGAGGCCAATTTGACCTTATCTTCCAATTGACTACGAAACTGCACGTCACTCGATAAGTCGACGCCGAGGATTCCAATACTAGCTGAGGCAAGAAGGGGAGTGCCTTGAAACTGAGGAGATACGACATAGGGGTTCTTTTTAGCGGTAAAAATTTTTATAGCTAGCCACTCAGTTAGGAAAAGGTACAAAATGGATGGGTGCTTTAAGATAAGATAAGATAAGATCATTACACAACTAAAAATAAAAGGTAGACAATTAATGTAAATGATTTAATAACAATAGTACTACATTAACAGTAATTGTTAAAGATTTTTAATTGAATTTTTAAATCACCAACATTTATTTTAAAGTATAATAAAATTGGTTTTCCTCCACAAGCTATCGCCACTCGATATTGGCGATTAGCTTGTGAAGGAGCTTATGGATAGCTTGTAACAACACAGGCATCGAGGCGGTCCTCGTTGCCTGTGTCTCCGTCAACCTTAACCGCCGACGCTCCTATAGAAGTCGCTGACGTCGCCAGTGATCTACTTCCACTGCCTTGGTACCTATGTCCCTATCGTTGATAACCGCCAACGCTGCTATAGAGTTCGCCGACGACGTCACTGCCACGGTGCCTGTGTCCCCGTCTATCATTACTGCCGATACTGCTATAGAAGTCGTCGACGCCGCTGGTGATCTACAAATCACTACCTTCACTACCTTGGTACCTGTGTACCTGCCTTTGATAACCGCCGACGCTCCTATAGAAGTCGCTGACGAAGTCACTCCCACGGTGCCTGTCTCCCCGTCTGCCATAACTACCGATGCCGCTATAGAAGTCGCCGACGTTGCTACCTCCACTGCCACGGAACCTGTGTTAACCGATGACGTAGATGTTACTGCTTCAGTTGCGTTAAGGTATAAATCCACTAGTCACCGACCAACGTAAAAAAAATAATAATAAAGCCAAACCAGAGTCTTGAAAAAAGTATATAGCGAAAATCATGCGTTAAAGTGACCAATCCTACAAGAATAGGAAAGGAACAATTGTTGATGCGAAAAATTGTGTCCCTACAGATTGCAGCAAGTGTAATCAAAATTTTCATAAAATGTTGGAGAAGGCCTTTATCGCGATTTTTGGGAGCTCCAAGTAAAGTAAACACCAAAAAATTTACCTTTCAGCACTTATAAGACACGCAAATATTTAACGATTCAACGAAAGGGTATTAGCTAAAAAAATCGCGGTGTTTCAAGAGAATATTCCCTCTGTCACAGAACTATGGGTAAAATAAGAGGTTACCAAAAAAAAATTTTTGCAATACTTTTAATATCAGTACAAGTGTGATTGATAGTTGTACAAAATATTTGTGGCAGAATTGCGTAAACATGTTTCCCGGAATTGTTTCTCACTGTTGCAGAAAAGACTCGAGAAAAAAATATTTGGAGAGTGTTCGTTCTAATAAGGCTCGCTTATTTAAATTATACAGACAGGAATTCCGCCCGGAAATAAACATGAATCCTATTTCTTCGTATGTATATGAATAAATTTTTAAATATTACGACCCGCCGCTAGCATTTTATAAGCCAAAAAAGGATCAGGGCACGAAATGTAATGATTATAAATATGCTGAAGACAAAACTGATGTACAAAGAGATTATGACGAGCACAAAGAAATAAAAAAGGAGTCTTTAGAAATAAAAGCGAATGATAAAAAGGAAAGCATAGACAGCAAAGGCTGTAAGCGTGCCATAAAATTCGACTTGCAAGCAATATTGCCACTACCTTATACTGGCGACTCCAAAATCGGCTATTTCCATTTACAATTATACGATTTTAGATAACTATCAAAATACAGGACTGTGTTATATGTGGGACGAATGCAACGGGAAAAAAGGCAGCACGGAAATTGAATAATAGAATTGCCTGAAAATATAAAATCAGATTCATCATTTTCTGATACGTGCAGCGGTCAGAACCGTAACAAATATGCTACATTGGCTGTTTTGTATGCTGTGATAAATAGTTCACATTTGGAAACAGTTAACCTCAAATATATGGAACCTGGTCATCCTTTTTTTAAAAAGGTAGACTCTATTCATGCAAGTATAGAGCGTTCCCGAAAACAAAAAAAAATCACTGCAAGGGAATATGCTTTAGTGATCACTTCTACAAAATCCAAGCCTAAGCGAAATGTCTTCATGGTGAAATATTCAGACTTTTACGATTCAAAAGATTTAGAAAAGTCACTGATTTGTAATACGGTAAAAAAAAACAAAAATAATGAAACCCTAAAGTGGATGAATATCAAATGGATTCAAGTAAGAAAAGAGTCCCCAGGATCAATCTGCTACAAATATAAATTGAGTTTTACGGGGTAGAGCCATGCTGCAGCTATATTAGTGACGTAAGTGTAGCACCAATGAGTCGGCTCGACCGGAGATTGACCACGCTCTCATAGAATACCAGCGTAAAATAGCAGTGTAACGCTGCTGTGTTTCGTATGGACTGTAGAGAACCGGAGACCCCTTTTACTGGAAAAGAGGCATTCCATCTTAGTCCTCACGGGTGACAACGCATCTGTATTCTGATTTGTAATCAAGGATAGATGTAGATGTCTATGGGCCACAGCAACCACTTACCATCAGGTGTGTGTGTGACTGTGTGCTAGTTTGTCACTCGTATCCTATAAAAAAAAAAGCCATCTATTGATGAAGAAAACATAATTAACGATTGTTCAGAATCTGATAATACCGACAAACAACAAGAACCAATGAAAAAATGGCCGTGGTAATTAAATATAATGAACCACTGATCTCATAACTAATTGGAACTTTAGAATCAATTTCATTGTAGTTTTCAGTTTTAAATTTCACAGAGGTTTTTACAATCCTATGTATGTAGTGGAAGGTAGTCACTTACCATCAGATCAGGATATAGAAGAGGGCATCGACTACAATATTTGCACAAAAATATTGGGGGGGGGGGGGGATGATTTTGTTGCGTTATACAAACTACTGTCCAATTTCGTCGCTTAGATGTGTGTCGTAAAAACAGACTATGGAAAAAGCTTACAATAGATTGCGGTATACCTTTGAATATATTTCAGGTGTAAAAGACCCAGCTCGTCAAGGTACGAGACATCCAGCGAGATTAGCCTAGTTGATTTCTTACAACCAAACACTAGATATGTCGTATTGTAATCGCATAATATTTTACAAGGTCGTCATCGTCATTCGTTGTAATGCTCCTTGAAATGTTTGCAGTGCATTTGTCGTTTCTATAAACTACATTATTTTACTTATAGCTCAGCTTTCAAAATCTTTAGGCTTTGTCGATTACGCTCATTAAAACGTGCTGAACGCTCTTTCGTATATTATGACTGTTCGGGTCGATAGTAATTAATTTTAAACTTACTTCCAGATGAACTAGATTTGAAATTTCGAACATAGCTCAGAATTGGATGACAATGTAAGAATTTAAAAAAGTACTAGATATATTATGTAAAATGTTCTAATTCGTAATTTTTAAAAGTTTTACATGTTATTATCTTTAGCTGCATTAGTTCCACCGTGTAATGCTCGTTACAAAATTCTTATTTTTTCATTTTAACTGTAAATATATTTCATTCTAACAAAAATTTACAACATAGCTAATGAAATGCGCAGGGCTTCCTGGTATTCCACTCGTTCGGCGGCGGCACTGGCTCCGGCTTCACGTCGCTGCTGATGGAGCGCCTCTCCGTCGACTACGGAAAGAAGTCCAAGCTCGAGTTCTCCATCTACCCTGCGCCACAGGTGATTCTTCCGTTTCGCTTTTTTTTATTTAGGGAATTTGAAATAAAACTTAAGATACCCAAGTTTCAGCTGAACCATAACGTCTGGACCGTAGCGGCTTGACCAAAGAGGAACCATACTAATGATTTTTTATATTTACACGAATATTACACATTGAACAAATGTACAGTAATGTGTAATGGCGGTGTTTGCCGTGTAGTAGTGCTGTAAGAATGTGCACTAGGCCATATCGTTCCGCGTTTGTCGTAAGAGGCGACAGATGGAAAGTGAAACATGAGATGGAAAGCAGCAAAAAAACTCAAAGCAACTCAAAGTTATAAAAAAACTGCGGTTGCCAACCCGCCTGCCAAGCATGGCTACCATAGCAAAATCCCCCTTTGAGGCAATCTATGGGGGAGGACATTGTTCAAGAGTTGACTTTTATAGCCTGTAATGGATGGATAGATGGCTAGATGGATAGATGAACAAAACTAATTTTACGGATTTTTGGAAAGATGTTCCTTATCGGACGGTATGGTTGGCGGATGGGAGCTAGGCGACAAAAAGTTTAAGATTTTTTCGTCACTACCCCTTGTGTCATAGTGTATTTTATTTTTATACGTGGTAGAGCCATGCTGCAGCTATATTATGGTTGTAGCACGAATGGGTCGGCTCGACCGGGGAAGGACCACGCTCTCACAGAATACCAGCGTAAAATAGCAGCTTAACGCTGCTGTGTTTCGTATGGTGAGTGTAGAGAACCGGAGACCCTTTTTACTGGAAATGAGGCATTCCATCTTAGTCCTCACGGGTGACAACGCATCTGCATTTTGATTCGTAATCGAAGATAGATGTAGATGTCTATGGGCCGCAGCAACCACTTACCATCAGGTGGACTGTGTGCTCGTTTGTCACCCTTATCCTATAAAGAAAAAAAAATGTCGCTTCATTTTAATAGACGCTAATATTAAATTTTTTGATATTTGTTAGTCAATAATATAATGCGTTTATCAATAATAATATACTATGAAAGGAACTTCGTACCAACCGAGTGTTCCACGACACTCACGCATGTTTTTTATTTAAGTTATAGTTAATTACTTATAGGTATTCTCAAATAATTACGAGCGTGAAGAAACTAGCTGTCCGTGTTAATTTCATTTAATTAAATTATCAAGCAAATCAAATCGGCAAGAATATGCGCCATGGATATCACTTAAGAAATCGACTTTCAAGTATAGAACTTTATCCATGTAAAAAATAAAGTTACAATCAGAACGTAGTGATTATATACTCTTTGGTTACAATCTACTACATAGACTAAGAATATACACAGGCCTCATCTCTCAATTATTAGAGGGTTATGGAGCAATAAGTCGCTGCTCCAATGCGTGTTGGCGGTCTTAACACGGCCTCTGAATATTTTATTGCTGAGACATTCAGGTTTCCTCACGCCGTGTTCCTTCATCACCGGTCAAACTTGAGCTACTAGGGTACTGCAAACGGAGCGCTTTTAACCTCTCACCTTTTACAGCACTAGCTTAAGGGAGTAGCGTAGTGAATTCTCTCCTGCTCCATATTCCGTCTACTAGGTACTAGGGCTCCTTTACTGCATAGGAGTTTCTCTGGGTAGGTACCCTCTCCCACCCATCTCTGTCGCCAAATAGCAGTGCTTGCACTGCCGTGTTTCGTTGTGACGTGTATAAAGAACCAGTTTGAAAAACTCATAACCGGTCGAAACTGCTTTTGACTGCAAAAATCAGGCAAAAAATCGTTTTGACCGATGTCCTTAGTCAAACACTTTTGACTGATGTTTGTAGTCAAAAGTGGTTTTAACCAACGTTCTTAGTCAAAAGTGGTGTTGTCTGATTTAAACTTCAGACTATCGGTTAAAACTCGCAATATCAGTAACAGTAGGTTATGGTGCGGCTGAGGTGGCCCTTGGGCCACCCTAAAGCCGCGTTCATTATAATGATATAAAATATAATATTGAAGAAATTGAACTTTTTTAATTTCAGAAATTCAAAAAGTAAAAGTCAAAAGAAGTTTTGACTAACATTGCTGGTCAAAACTACTTTTAATCGATGTTATTTGGTCAAAATCACTATTACCCAATATTTTTGCAGTTAAAAGCAGATTTGACCAACGGTCTTAGTCAAAAGTACTTTTGACTGCAAAAATGAGTTAAAATTGGTATTGACAAACATCCTTAGTCAAAACTACTTATGCCTGATTTTTTACATTCTAAAGTGGGTTTGACCGGTTATGAGTTTTGCCTGTAACATATCGATTACATAAAAGAAAACTTATGTTTGCTGAGCGCAGAGTTTATTTTTATGAATTTCTTTCTTAATTATTACTGAAAGGATAAATAATTTATGGTGTACTATTAGGTGTCGACAGCGGTGGTGGAGCCGTACAACTCGATCCTGACGACGCATACAACGCTCGAGCACTCGGACTGCGCCTTCATGGTGGACAATGAGGCCATCTACGACATCTGTCGGAGAAACCTAGACATCGAGCGCCCCACCTACACCAATCTCAACCGGCTCATCGGACAGGTAAAATGGAACATGGAGACGACCTCTATCGCCTTAAAATTTTATAGCCGCGAGTAACGTGTTCAATTATTATCCAACTGCGCGACGCAAAGGAGAGTAATGTGTTTATCAGCCTATGCATGTATGTACGTATCTTTGTATTTTTGTGACGCTCTAGAAACCAAAAGCGCGGGCTGATTTTGATAATTTTTCGGTCTATCTATTTGTCTGGAACTCGTGAGTGTCATGACAGTAGTCAAAATTCAATATGGCGACAACCAGTCGCCATATTGTTAAAAAGAAAAAATGAAAATCGATGAACTTATGTCAAGTAGGGTATCATTAAATAGGTCTTTAAAAATCGTCTTATGTTTTTGTAATCATGTTTCATTTTGAATGACCATTTAGGATCTCTATGATTTAAAGTTAGTAACCATTCTTACTTAAATTTTCAAAACTTATAATGAAGGTGTGATCAAGTTCTTAAATAATAATTTAATAGGTCTTAATAGTAAATTGTTTGCGTAGAGAGTATTTTAAACAGTATTTAATCATAAGACTTGTTTTGTGTTAAATATCTCAATTCCTCGCTAGCTTACACAACCATAGCATGCTCTGCTATTTTGCATCTTTATTCTGTGCAAGCTTGCTTCTTTCCCGATCAGCCCACTCGACGACCTATTCGTGCTCCACACACAACACAGTTGCAAGGTTACAGCCCGGCTTCACCATAATAAATATTATAATTAAATACCGCTTTTTTTCTCCTGACCGAATTTTGGTCACGGCGATAAGTCTCAGAAACTAGCCATCTGCTCAGGACAGAATTATAGTGCCCGAGTGTATGCACAAGCACAAGTGCACTCTCTATTCCCTCACTCTCATAGTCCGATGGAACGGTAATCCGACACCACCGGAGAGAAATCATTCGCAGAACAAACTGCTTTACTTGCTTTCCGATGCATGGAGGTGAAACAGTGCCAACTTCCTGACTCCGTGCTGTTACTGAGTTTCTTGCCAGAAAACCCGAATACGTAATGTTTGGCCCCACCATAATGATATGTGGCAGAGCCACGCTGCAGCTATATTATGGTTGTTGCACGAATGGTTCCGCTCGACCGGGATAGGACCACGCTTTCACAGTATACCAGCGTAAAATAGCACCTTAATTCTGCTGTGTGTCATATGGTATGTGGAGAGTACAGGAGACCCTTTTTACTGCAAACTAGGCAAACCATTTTAGTTAATCGGTAGATGTCTATGGACCACAGCATCTACTCCATCCACAGGCGGACTGTATGATCGTTTGTCCCCCTTATTCTATAAAGAAAGACTATCTACCTACCCTCAGATCGTGTCATCGATCACGGCGTCTCTACGGTTCGACGGCGCGCTGAACGTGGACCTGACGGAGTTCCAGACCAACCTGGTGCCGTACCCGCGCATCCACTTCCCGCTCGCCACGTACGCGCCCGTCATCTCCGCGGAGAAGGCCTACCACGAGCAGCTCACCGTCGCCGAGATCACCAACGCCTGCTTCGAGCCCGCTAACCAGGTCAGCTTTTATTTATAGTGGACTCTAACCTTTAATTGACTTTTCACTACTTTTTATTTCATTTTTGTCTGGCAGTAATTGCTGGATAGCAATAAGACCACCTTTTATTTTTCTCTCTGTTTGTTTCTTGTATTTGGGTATTTTATTGTATTGTACAGCCCTTCACAAGTCCACTGCTGAACGTAGGCCTCCCTCAAAGAATGCCACAAAGTACGGTCCTGAGCCAGCTGAATTCATCGACTTCCTGCATATCTTACCTCGTGCCGATAAGTGAAATGTAGGGCGGCCCCCCACTAGGTGGAGTGACGATCTGGTAAGATGCAGCTTTTATTTATTTAGCTTTAATTGTTACCCAACTGTCCCAGAAAGACGGTAACTAATCTTTTTCTAATGTATGTATGTATATATCATTGGTATACTTTGTAGCCTAAGCGACTTGATGAACTTTAACATATTATGGGATATCGTTAGATTCGTGTTAGTCGTGCAAGTGACAAAGGGTAATTGTACACGCACCTAGTTGCCCAGACTAAGGTCTACCATACAGGGGCCCATACAGCTGTTAGATTCGACGGACAACTAAGTGTGGGCTCCAATGCCTATGGATATTTAATATATATGGACTAGGTACTTAATGCGACTTACCTGATGCTGAGGCGAAGACTGTCCCAAGGCTCGGCCAGGCCGTAGGTGTGTAGATGCATGTAAAGTAGTGTTTCGTGGTGTGTATTATGGTTGATCTGACTGGACCGTTGAAGTCGGCAGCAACGCTGACTCCGGCATCGCCCGGCGGTGTGGTATTCTCCAGCGGTGGCACAAATGGACAATTTCTTTCTTCAATTCACTATGTCAGTCTATCAACTTTATTGTACATTTAACTAACTTCAAAACGCAACTAAATCCCGTTAATTATAATCAAAACGTAACACGCGACACGACTGATTAACGGGGGTTAAAGTTCACTTCCGTTCACTCTGCAACAAATTATTTCGAGAACCGAACGCGACCTTTTTAGGGACTTAACGCGACGGTACAATTAAACATTAAATTCCCAACAATTAGTCAACCCGGCATCTAATATTCTAGACTACACAATTCCTTGTCGTTGCATAAATTTGCTAACAAAATCGAAACGATCATGGGTAACCACGCGGCTCGAGTAGACTCACAGCAATGCCCCGCCCGGCCGCCGCTTGATGACAAAAAAATGCCCGATCTACCACGCGCCCGGCGCGTGCAGGGAGGCGCCCGCGAGCCGCCTGCCAGCCGGTGCTAGGTACATTGGAGAAGCGCGCCGACGCGCCTCCGTTATAGTAATTTTAAATTTTAACGTTTGGCGCAAACAATAATAATATTAGAATTTTCTCTTTTCTTTAAATTTAACTTTAAATTTCTTTGACAATATTTCTTAATACCGTTGAATAGAATGTCCGTAGTCTCGTATAGTTTTCACCAATCCTTAATCTTCAGATTTGGTATTTTCAAATATTGAAGTGAAATTATTTCCACGTCCGGAACGGTCAGGATCAACATCGACCGGCATTGTAATAACTAACACTAACAGAATGATCTAAAAATCCTGCCTCTTATAGGCATTTAACATGATCATTTTATTATTGCAGATGGTGAAATGCGACCCCCGTCACGGCAAGTACATGGCATGCTGCATGCTGTACAGGTGAGCTGCTTATTATTCTTCAACAGCCCGTAGAACTACAGCTGGACGTAAACCTCTGCTATTGTAGAGAGAGCTTGCCTTATTCGTGAACTTTGGAAGGAAGGAAGGATCGTACCAGATGTCACTCACCTTCCTTGCTGCTGCCTATCGCTGGTCTTAGTATTCTACAGCTGGTATGTAGTAATACATAAGATAGTCATATACATTGATAAAAATATTGATAATGCTATTCACTTCCACCAATCTTTGAGCTTCTAATTCGCCATTTTCGAATACTTATCCTGTCAGCAGTAGGTCTTCCAACCACCATATATCGGATGCAATGAAGTCTTTTCTGGCATTTGCCTTGGTAGCAAAGCAGTGAGCTTATTTTATTTCATTGACTTACCAACTAACTGCATATTTATTTATTTAATCTCTCATGCACAAAGTTGTACATATGGCGGACTTAATGCCATAGGGCATTCTCTCCCAGTCAATCATTAGGGTAAACAGAGATAGACAAACAAGAGGCGGTGCAACAGTAATCAAAATAGAAAGGACTAAAATATATATTGTGTATACATATAAATATACATATACACACACATAGATACACATATATACTTAAGTACAAACAATACGTGGTAGAGCCATGCTGCAGCTATATTAGTAGTATAGCTGTAGCAAGAATGGGTCGGCTCGACCGGGGAAGGACCACGCTCTCACAGAATACCAGCGTAAAATAGCAGCTTAACACTGCTGTGTTTCGTATGGTGAGTATAGATAACCGGAGACCCATTTTACTGGAAAAGAGGCATTCCATCTTAGTCCTCAGGGGTGACAACGCATCTGCATTTTGATTCGCAAACGAGGATAGATGTAGATGTCTATGGGCCACAGATACCACTTACAATCAAGTGGACTGTGTGCTCGTTTGTCACCCTATTCTATAAAAAACCCACAATATATATATAAATACATACACATAGTTCACACAAGTTCGTTAGTCACTTCATTTTTTAAAAACAGAACTTCAGCTACGTTTTGAGTTACGTCTAAAAACTTAGATAATAGTCTGATAAGCTATATACTACATATAAATAAAACTGAAGTGTCTGTTTGTAATGTAAAAATAACAGCTTTTTACATATGAACGTGTGTACGGTACTTATAACAAAAACACAATTTCAACAAATTTCGTCTGCCTGTCTGTTTGTTGTGGCTAATCTCCGAAATGGCAGGACCGATGTTGATAGGACTTTCACTGGTATATAGCTCATGTTATAAGGAGTAACTTAGGCTACTTATACTTTAGAAAAATAATTAGGCTTCCGCGCAACAAAATTAAACCACTAAATTACACGCAGACGAAGTCGCGGGGAACAGCTAGCCGCTAATATAAAACATTTAAAAAAACGTTGAGTAGGCATTTCGATCTTGTGGCGGCGCTGTCTTACCACCACAGGCCCGGCGGGAGATCTCGCCTTTTCCTTCTACGGTCAAAAACTTTTTAAAAATTAAAAAATTTGGAGATATCAATGACACACAGAAGCCAGTATAAAATAGTGTTACCTTCTTAATATAGGCTTATAGAGTAAATAAAAACATAAAAAAGTCTTAATGTCAATCGGATGAGGAAACCTTAGTTAATTACGGAGTATTAAAAAAGGAAAATAATACGCTTTTTTTGTTTATATGACAATCTATACTTGCTTTTCGCAGAGGAGACGTGGTGCCGAAGGATGTGAACGCAGCCATCGCAACCATCAAGACCAAGAGAACCATCCAGTTTGTCGACTGGTGCCCCACGGGATTCAAGGTATAAAATATATGTCACTTTAAACTTATTAATTTACCTTACATTCAAAATTTAATAAAGGCCTTTTGTAATTTGCATGGCTGTAAGCCCAGGGAACGGCAAACGGTCCATGTAAAAATACGGTGATTCTTCTATACCTTGCAGAGTAGATTGCAAACAGAGCTCTTTTTTCTCTATTTTTTTGGAGTTTTTATCGGAACGACATGCCAATTCCATCATACCTATACTACGGAAACAAAGTTGTTCGGTCCGTTTATGGTGTAATGACAAGATCACACTTTATATTTTATAACGTTATAACGCACACTCAGCACGCTGAGCAATCGAAGTGACACTCTCGCATTGGAGATGCTACTACTAGAAGAATATTTTCTTTAACACTCACTCTTTATAATTAAGAATAAAATAGCTTTATTCTTTTTTTTATAAATATTTTTAAACTACTATAAAATACCGCGTTTTTATCAATGCCCTCATCCACTTTTTCTGCCACCAGGGCGGCGCCATTAGAAAATGAGGTATAATATTTGACAGATTTCATAGCGGGGAAGTTAATTTGTTCGGAAAATATAAAGGTTATCGTTTCTTTCTGCACTGTTAGCTATATTTTATATTAATAGGATTAAAAATAAATAAACCAAACCACAGACAAAAAAAAAACTGAAGGTAGCCGGGCTAACTATGACAGCAGGACGTCAAACAACTCAGTCCCCCGTGACCACGGGTGCTGGAAAGCACCCGAAACGTCGGGAATATATAAAAATAAGTTAATATACGCGATAAAATCCGTAAAATTAGTTTTATTTAAAAATGTGTAGTGTTCGCGTAAATATAAGAAATCAAACCACAGATATTCATAAAAGTAGAAAAATTTAAAAAAGTTAAAAATGTGCAAAAAAAATTTAAGAGCAAACCACTGACGCATTGTGTTGTGTATTAATTTAATACTCTAGAAACTGATAAACTTTTATCAAAAACCAACTTCTCAATTAAATTACACTGTGTACCAAAAAACTTTACATCAGTGTCAACTAGCGACATCTGGTGAGCAAAAACTCATTAGCCCTCGTTCAAATTAGACAACCGCTAGGCTTTCCAAAGAGGGGACACGTCACTCGGCTCCCCATTAACAGACTGTGGAGTTTAAATTCAGCATTGTAGGATTGTACGTAATAATTCTATGGATTGACCTTTAGATTGTAAAAACTATGCAAAATTTTCTCTAAAGGTTTTATCATATACCTAATAGTATAAAGGGAAAAAAATAAACACTAAAATGATTATTTATGCGATAGAGCCACGCTGTAACTATATTGTAGCACGAATGGGTAGTTTCGACCATGGAAAGACCACGTTTTCATAGAATACCAGCGTGAAATAGCAGCATAATGCTGCTGCGTTTCGTATGCAAAATGTAGATAACCAGAGACCGTTTTAACTGGAAAGGAGGCATTCCATCTTAGTCCTGAGAAACAACGCATTTTGAGTTTTGAGTTTTAATCGAGGATATGTGTAATTTTGTTGTCAACGAGCTGCGGCATCCATTTACCATCTGTGTGGTCGTTTGTCATACCTTTTCTATAAAAAAAAATCTTATAAATCCACCACAAATTAAACCATACTTCTTGTTACGGCCTACGGCTGCTCCCTTAAAGTCAAATCCTCAGGGGCCCATTCAGCTGAGTTTCGACTAGCAGACGTAGGTCGGGCCTCCTCCAGGCCAAAGTGGAATTTCTCTAATTACACTAAACTATATGGGGGAGCCGTGTAGTGGCGGTCAAGAATACCACTACCCCATATCCTCCCGTGGGTGTCGTAAAAGGCGACAAAGGGAAACAGGCAGGAGATGGGCAGCAGCATCTTCCTGATAATAGCCAAAATTACAATAAAAAAACTGCGGTTGCCAACCCGCTCGCCAAGCGTGGCAACTATGGCAATATACCCCTCATAATGAAAGTTACGAAGAGACGGCCCCCAGTCCCCGGCGGCCCCGCTATTCCTGGCTACGGTGGCGACCATGGTAACGGCGGGGCAGGGGGTGCTAAGAATCTCCGGTGGAGGTTCGGTTGCCACCTTAGACGACTCGACCTGGCAACGTACAACGCACGCACCCTGAGGACTGACGAGAAGATCGTGGAGCTGGAAGAAGAGATAGACAAGTTGCGCTGGCATATTATAGGATTATCCGAAGTCCGAAGAGAGGGGGAGGACACGGTAATCCTCGAATCCGGCAACTTGCTCTATCACCGGGAGGGCGACCATCTGTCCCAAGGAGGTGTCGGATTTATCGTCCACAAGTCTCTCGTTAACAACGTTGTAAAGATCGGGAGTGTGTCGACGAGGGTTGCGTACCTTATACTCAGAATCACCAAACGGTATTCGCTGAAGGTCATACAGGTTTACGCACCAACCTCGGCACACCCCGATCAGGAGGTGGAGGAAATGTATGAGGATATCTCTAGAGCCATGCATTCCTCCAAAACCCAATATACGGTGTTAATGGGAGACTTCAATGCAAAACTAGGCACAAGAGAGAACGGTGAGCTGAAAGTAGGGAAATTTGGAATAGGGCAACGGAACCCAAGGGGCCAGCAGCTGGCCGACTTCATGGAGAAAGAGGGACTCTTTATGATGAACTCTTTCTTCCAGAAGCGGCCCCACAGGAAGTGGACCTGGTCGAGCCCCGACGGTTCGACAAAAAATGAGATTGACTTCATTATGACGACCAGACGACAACTGTTCAGTGATGTCTCCGTGATCGCGAGGGTGAAAACTGGTAGCGATCACCGAATGGTTAGAGGCACACTGAACCTAAACGTTAAGTTGGAGAGGTCTCGTCTAATGAAGTCAACGCTCCGTCCCCCTCGTGCTCTGTTCCAAAGTCCCGAAACCTTTCAGCTCGAGTTACAAAACCGCTTTCAGTGCCTAGAAGACTGCAATGAAGTGGACGATATGAATGACAAGCTCGTGGAAACTGTCCATGCGGTCGGAGCTAAGTTCTGCAAGACCCGCCGCAGAAGAACACAAAAACTCTCCGATCACACTCTTAATCTCATGGCTGTTAGACGGGAGATGAAGCTACATTCTTCAACAGACTTGACAGCATACAGGCATCTGAACAGACAGATCTCCAAATGCATGCGGCGGGACTTACGCAACTTCAATACAGCTCGTATTGAAGAAGCGATCGAGCGGAACCAAGGTTCCAAAGTCTTTGCCAGAGATCTGTCTGCCAGAAAGAGCCACCTGTCAAAGCTGAAGACAGAATGTGGCAGCATCGTTTCCGGGACACCTGAGATTTTGAGTGAGATTGAGAGGTTCTATGGGCAGCTGTACACGTCATCGTTGGAGCCACACGCAAGTGTGAGTAACGATCCAAGAGCGAGTCTCATCCGACACTATTCCGAAGATATCCCGGACGTCAGTCTAAGCGAGATTAGAATGGCTCTCCAGCACCTTCAAAAGGGTAAGGCCCCAGGCGAGGATGGAATTACAGCGGAGCTTCTGAAAGCGGGTGGAAGACCGGTACTTGAAGTCCTTCAGAAGCTCTTTAATTCCGTCCTCCATGGTGGCATTACACCGGAGGCGTGGAGCAGAAGTGCGGTGGTCTTGTTCTTCAAGAAAGGTGACAACGCTCTCTTGAAGAACTACCGACCGATTTCCCTTCTGAGCCGCGTCTACGTGCTGTTTTCGAGAGTCATTACGAATCGTCTCGCGCGCAGACTTGACGACTTCCAGCCTCCCGAACAAGCCGGTTTCCGAAAGGGCTTTAGCACCATAGACCACATACATACCCTTCGGCAAATTGTACAGAAGTCCGAAGAGTACAATTTGCCACTATGTCTGGCGTATGTGGACTATGAGAAAGCCTTTGATTCCGTCGAAATTTGGGCGGTGCTGCAGTCCCTTCAGCGGTGCCAAGTTGACTGTCGGTATATCGAAGTGTTGAAGTGCTTGTACAGTAGGGCTACGATGGCTATCCGAGTACAGAACCAGAGTACGAAACCTATCCAATTGCAGAGAGGTGTAAGACAGGGTGACGTCATATCCCCGAAACTCTTCACCGCTGCATTGGAAGACGTTTTCAAGCTTCTGGACTGGAAAGGATACGGTATCAACATCAATGGCGAGTACATCACTCACCTTCGATTTGCCGACGATATAGTCCTTATGGCAGAATCGCTGGAGGACCTTAGCACTATGCTCAATGACCTCGATAGTGTTTCCCAACGGATAGGTCTTAAGATGAACATGGACAAAACAAAGATCATGTTCAATGTCCATGTCACACCTATGCCGGTAGTTGTTGGGAGCACTAAGCTCGAAGTTGTTGACGAGTATGTTTACCTGGGACAAATAGTCCGACTAGGTAAGTCCAACTTCGACCGAGAGGTCAATCGACGGATTCAACTCGGCTGGGCAGCGTTCGGGAAGCTACGACACATCTTCTCGTCAGACATACCTCAAAACCTGAAAACGAAATTGTACAACCAGTGCGTGTTGCCAGTGATGACTTATGGAACTGAGACGTGGTCCTTCACTGCTGGCCGTATGAGGAAGCTCAAGGTCGCTCAGCGAGCTATGGAGAGGGCTATGCTCGGAGTTTCTCTGCGTGATAAACTTAGGAATGAGGATATCCGCAGTAGAACCAGAGTAACCGACATAGCCCAACGGATTAGTAAACTGAAGTGGCAGTGGGCCGGCCATATAGCTCGAAGAACCGACAACCGATGGGGAAGAAAGGTTCTCGAGTGGCAGCCTCGTACCGGTAGGCGAAGTGTAGGGCGTCCCCCCACGAGATGGAGTGACGACCTGGTAAAACATGCAGGAAGTCGATGGATGCAGGTGGCTCAGGACCGTGCTTTGTGGCATTCTTTGGGGGAGGCCTATGTTCAGCAGTGGACTTGTGAAGGGCTGTAATGATGATGAAATGATGATATGGGGGAGCGTTCTATACTACGGCCAGTCGATCGGGAGGATAGTAGACGGAGCTTACTTACCTATATCCAAGGCGACTGGTCCCTTCGGAGTCGGTCAGGTCGCATGTGGTTGTGTAGTGCAAGGGAAATAAGGTGATGTGATGTGTATCTGGGTGTGACTGATGGTGATTGACCCTAGACCTTGGCCGTCGGCAGCAGCCCGTGCGTCGACACCGCTCCAAATTGAGGGAACCTTCCGCGGCGTTCTCTACAGTCACTTTCCTCGTTCGTCACGATGACAGTCCATTAACTCTATCGTACGATTAATTAACTTACAGAAGCCACTAACTCTCTGGTTTGTTATAAGTTTAACGCACAAAACGAACACTGAGGTCAAAGGTCACTACCGTTTCGCGTAGCAACAGTTATTTCTAGAATATCAAAGGCCGCACTAGCTAATATTGCCGAATGCAATTATGCAGATTCTGAGTCAGACACAATGAGTCCCTGGGAAGCTCTCGAGTAGGAATGCGTGCCACAAATCCTAAACCGTATATTTACTGTCCGCGCCTAATTATTCCGAGTTCCCGACAAAAATGATAGCGTGCTAACGTTAGCACCGCTTACAGACGACTCTGCCTTTTCGCTCGCGACCCGCGCGCCATTGCCACGCTCGGCCGAACTTCAACCGGTATCGCGCCGAGCCGAGTGCCATCTGGCGTCGATTCTTGACAGCGTTTGGCGCGAATACTTCTGGACAGGAAAGAAGCGTATTACTTACCGTTACCATTACAGCCTATCAAAGTCCACTGCTGAACAAAGGCCCACAGATTGTCTCATAGGGTAGATATTTGCTATAGTTGCCACGCTTGGCAAGCGAGGTGGTAACAGCAGTTTTATTTTTATTTTTAGTTGTTATTAAGAAGACGCTGCTGCCCATCTCCTAATTTGTTTCCCTCTGTCGCCTCTTACGATACCCACGGGATGATATGGGGCAGTGAATCTTCTTACACGGCCACTTCCCGGTAATGGGCTAGCTGAGCGCCTGCGCGTAGTGTCGCTGCAAAGTTCGCTCACTCTCCTCTCCAGTCCACGCGACCCGTGGCTACTAGCAGATTTAGTCAAATGAATAGTAAAAGTGAAACTTGTTGTACAGGTGGGCATCAACTACCAGCCGCCGACTGTGGTGCCGGGCGGCGACCTGGCCAAGGTGCAGCGCGCCGTCTGCATGCTGTCCAACACCACCGCCATCGCTGAAGCCTGGGCCAGGTCACTAGCCTTCTCACACTTGCTATGAACAACATTTTTATGTATTAAACTGACATTAACAACTTACTATTTTGTATAAAACTGACATTAACGGCTTACTGCAAACCTCGCATGATAATGAAAAATAAAGTCTAAGAACTTTATCCTTATAAAAATAAACTTGATTTTTTTTTACAGAAATCTAACATTATATATATATTGTGCTTCTAGATTGGATCACAAGTTCGATTTGATGTACGCCAAGCGCGCTTTCGTGCACTGGTATGTCGGCGAGGGAATGGAGGAGGGAGAGTTCTCTGAGGCCCGCGAGGACTTAGCCGCCCTAGAGAAGGACTACGAGGAAGTCGGAGTTGACTCTACGGAGGGAGAGTTGGATGACGAAAACGAATACTAAGCCCTAATAATCGGTACATTCGGAAACATAGTATTAAGATGATAGTTTCCCCAATAAAAAAAAATAACGTATTTTAACCGATTGACCAAAATATAACTAATTTCATTCATAACAAGTTTCTCCTCATTATATAAAGTTATTAAGTGTATTTATTTTTTCAAGATTGTGTATTAATTAATTATATCAGAACGTATGTAGTTCAACTGATGTTTACGAAATATTACATTATCACAGTCACGTGTATTTTGTATACTCTACTCTGTGATCAGAGACATAGAGTAGAATAACAAGAAAAAAAAGTAAACTACTTCTAGACTCAAGACTATACACTCATACACGTATACTTTGGTATACCTACACCTGACATGTTAACATCAAAAACAATAAAATAATCAAAAAATATCATTCTAAGTTAAAAATTATTAGATGTAAGAAAAACAACGTGAGCTTGACTAATTACAAGGATGTTTGAATTAACAGTACAAACTTTTGAAAAATTATTTCCTTACGTGAAATGTAAAGTTTGTCGCTCTGTAACATGTGAGTTTGATTTGCTAAAATACAGCATCATTTATTAATTTACAAACAAAACAAAGTGATAATATATTTTATTTTCGTCATAATGTAATAGGATTAGTGAAATCTTTTATATTTTTTGTAAAAGGCTAACTTATTAAGGTTTATTATAATTATGCTTTAATATGAAATGGTAACATAAATGTGGATAATTTATTATAATTGCACATTAAATTTTTTACCCTCAACATGTCATTTTATTTCAAAATAGCTTTTCACCCGCAGCTTCGCTCGCGTAAGCTTGAGTTTAGGAACATCATTAAATGCTGTTCCGTGCCAAATTTAACAAAATTTGATCACATTTAGTCACCGCGGTATCTGAGTCTCTATGTCTGTCAAAGATTTTTTTTAAATTCTAAAAGATGTCTACGTCTAAGATTATTGGTATTTGGCATAGATATAATATGCTACAGGAACACGTGAATATAAATATCTAGAAACACCTGCTATCTGGGGGCAAATTAGACATTCGGTTGTCTGCTCTCAAGCCGCGCGGACGTATTTCTTCGGTCGAGCACATGCGCTCCCGAGTTACTAAGTGCAATTGTGCGAAAAAGAACAATAAACGGATTATCCTCGAAGTGCATCAGTGGTGTTGTGCGTCATTGCCGCCGTCAGGTTGCACCGGGCCGCCGGCCCATTGTTCTATTGTCTTAGTAATTAGTGTAGTGCCCCACGCTCTGCCAATTTCCAGTAAAAACTGTAAGTAGTTTATTACACACCGCCGTGCCGCCTCAGAAGCGGCTATTGTATTGTATTAATCTCTGTGTTCGCTTGTCGCATTAGGCGACAGCTAGGTATACACCCTAACGTACCAACGCGTTAGGTACATAGGTGTTCGTTTAAGCACACACCTAACGGCGGGGGAGCTTGGTACACAAGTGTTTTTGTTAAAAACTTTGACAAGATGACGGCTATAACCATAGCCGAACTCGCCGACTTTTTCAGTCGTGCGTGCCCCGACGTTTGGGCGACCTTCCTAGCTCAACTCCAACCGCCCGCTGCTGAACGTCCGACCGTGCTAGTGGACGACCCTATGTCGCCCAGCACCGGAACTGCGACCCCCGCGTCTGTTGAAACGCTATATGACGTAGCATCCCCCGCGCCTTCTGCGCTCTCCACCCGTGGGCCGTCCCCGGCGTTCTCGGACGCCGAGACGGGCTCCGAAATGGAGTTTGACGTCGCGAAACCCGCCAAGCCCGATGACGAAGGCTTCACACCGTAGTCTCGGGCAAGAAACGAAAACGTCCTGCCGCGAAAAAGGACGTCGAGCCTCACTCGGCCCCTTCGTCCCCGTCGTCGTCGCCTAACGCTAAAAATACTGCGCCTTCAGCGCGCCCTAAAATTGCAAAGATCGCGAACCCGGAACCCGCCGCGGTGCGCAAGGAAAAACCGCCGCCCCCGATCATCCTTCAGGATAAATCCTGATGGAGCAACCTTTCTCATTGGATTGGTCTCAAGGTCCACAATGGTGGCTAGGGCATACGAATCCACGTCTCAACGACGGATGACTTCCGCGCTTTAACTGTGCATCTTAAAGCTCAGAAACTGAGCTTCCACACCTACGCCCTTGCGGAAGAACGCAACCTCCGCGTAGTCGTTCGCGGGCTCCCAAAGGAGCTCGAAACCGAGCACATATTAAGCGATCTTAAATCGCAGAATCTCCCGGTTAGGGAAGTGCAAGTCTAGTTATCTTAGACCTGTCTCCGGAAGGGAAGAAAATTTACAATATTCGCCGAATCTGTAATCTCACTGGGATTACGGTAGAGGCCCCCCGAAATAGGGGCATCGTTGGTCAATGCCACCGATGCCAACTGTATGGCCACTCGGCCAAAAATTGCTATGCCAAACCTAGATGCGTTAAGTGTCTAGGAGACCACGGCACACCCGAGTGCACCCGAACGCCCGAGTCGGAAGGCCCTCTGAGCTGCGTTCTGTGCGGCGAAGCGGGACACCCAGTGAACTGTCGCGGGTGTACCAAAGCGCCGCGAGACTAGCGGCTAGCGCTAGCAGGTCCCGTCCTCGGCAACATGCCCCTTCAGTCGCACCGATCTCGGTGTCTCAACCCGCGCTCCCTCAATCTCACACCAAACCCGCCCCCGTTAAAGGGACCTCCGGGCAAGGTGTAAGCTCGTCGGTGCCTTCAGAACCCGTAACGAACGCATGGGTTAAGCCCCCGGCGATTGTTAGCGCGGCCGCCTCACGGCCAGCGCCCTCTCTTCAGGCTCAAAAGCCCAAACGTGCCCCTCAGGCATCTTCTACCTTCGCTGCTGACTTCTCGCTAGTTTGCAGCTTCATCAGCAACATAAATGTTGCTGAAGTAACTTCCCTGGCCCGCAAAGCCAAATCCGCTCAAGATAAGCTCAATTCCTCCATTGAGCATATTAATCTCATCGACGCGATCGGTTCATTCCAATGCGCCTAAATAATAATCTTTTTAAACCAAAATAGCATTACAACATACAGGTAGAACTAAACCTAGCTTACTGACTGTCGCTTTCTTTAACGCAAACGGCATAAGAGATCAAAAGGAAGAAATCATGTAGTTTTTACGCGATCATGATGTCGACATCATGCTAGTGCAGGAGACCTTCTTGAAACCTAGCGTGCACGATCCCAAAATAGCTAATTATACCTTCGTAAAAAATGATAGGCTGACCGGACCTAAGGACGGCACCTTGATCTACTACAAAAAGTCCTTGCACTGTATACCGATAGACACTCCACCGCTTGCTAACTTAGAAGCATCGGTTTGTAGAATAGCACTTACGGGCCATCCGCCCGTCATAATTGCCTCGGCATATCAGCCACCGCAGAAACTCTTGTTAGAAGCCGACATCTCGGCACTACCAAATCTAGGCCCCAGCGTAGTAATCGCGGGAGACCTAAACAGTAAACACGTTAGTTGGAACGCTAACCTAAACAATCCAAACGGAAACATATTATGCGGCCTCACGGAGAGACTTAACTTCGACGTTATCGCTCCTGAGAGCCCAACTCACTACCCATTTGTGACTAGTCACCAACCGGACGTCCTTGACTTAGTTATTCTAAAAGACATCCGGCTTAACATTAACTCAATCGAAACTGCTATGCTCGGACCATAGGCCGGTCGTATTAGAACTGGGCCGGTCGGCTGGTGAGGCCCCTCAGACCAAAACCATCGTCGACTGGCGTAAGCTCAAGGTCAAACTTGAGTCTAGGAACTCCCAGCATTTAGACTCCATACCGGACAAGATAGACTCGCCGGAGGAAGCCAATAGAGCGATTAGCGCCCTATTGACTCACCTCACATCAGCTGTCGAAGAGTGCTCCCGTAAGGTTCGTGTGTTGAGCGATCGATACACAAAGCTTCCGGGAGACGTTCGACGGCTGATTAGATCGAAAAACACCGCGCTAAAAACATATGACCGTTATCGCACGCAAGATAACAAAATTCGGCTACGTTCTCTGCAAAACGAGATTAAACAACGCGTTGTCGAATTTAGAAACGATAAATGGGATAACCTCTTAGAGGAATTAGAACCATCTCAAGATGCCTTTTGGAGGCTGACTAAAGCCATAAAAGCAGAGCAAATTGCTCCCATGCCGCCTCTCGTGAGGCTCGACCACCCCGATCTCGCCTTAGACGATCTCGAAAAAGCCGAATACTTAAGCCGAAAAGTCACTAAGACCATATAAAGCCTTAAGATTAGATCAGCCCCTGGGCCAGATGACATCAGTAAGAAGGTGATCAAATCTCTTCCGGCACCGTTAATTTACCTCCTCGTAGGAATTTTCAACGCGCTTCTCTCGAGCTGCTCTTTCCCGGATATCTGGAAAGAAGCAGACGTTATAGGGATCCATAAACCAGGCAAACCGCGCAACCGACCCACCAGTTACAGGCCCATCAGCCTACTCAATACTTTGGGTAAATTATATGAGCACACTATCCTTAAGCACCTCCGTCACTTCACGGAAACAAAAAGACTCCTCCCTGACGAACAGTTTGGATTTAGAGCCAAACATTCATGTACTAACCAAATCCATCGCCTAACAGAATATATTCTGTCTAGCTTTAATCACCACCCTACAAAGAAAAAATCTCAAAGCACGGGAGTCCTCTTCTTTGATGTCGCAAAGGCATTTGATAAGGTCTGGCACGACGGCTTGCTCTACAAGCTGTATAAACTAAACGTGCCTGACAGGCTCGTACACATCATCCGAGCCTTCCTTTCAAATCGCTCTTTTCGCTATCGAGTGGAGGGAACCCGTTCCTCGAAACGCTTTCTTAAGGCTGGTGTCCCACAAGGCTCCGCCCTGGCTCCAATTCCGTTTACACTTTTTACGAGTGACATCCCTAAAGATCCGGTGGTCAACACCGCTCTCTTCGCCGACGATACGGCTCTCTTTGTATCAGACTACAATAGGAATATTCTCACTTCAAAACTTCAAAAAGCTACCAATCGCTTAGGCGAATGGTTCCGCCAATGGAGAATTGAAGTAAATCCCGAAAAAAGTGTAGCAATATACTTTCAACGGAATCCAAAACAATCCCGTAAAGGCCCAAGAAAACGAATGAAGGTAATTAACCTATACGGCCGCCCCATCCCATGGGAATATTCGGCCAAATATCTAGGCGTCACGTTCGACGCCAGCATGAATTTCGCGAATCACATTAGTATAGTTCGCAACAAAGCCAAGTCAGTCATTGGCCGTCTCCACCCTCTTGTGAACAGTAAGAGTAAGCTGTCTCTAAGACACAAACTCCATCTGTACAAAGCCTACGTTAGACCTATCATGTCTTATGCAAGTGTAGCCTTCGCACACACATATAAGTCCCACCTAAACGAACTACAGAAAGTTCAAAACTATTTCATCCCTAAAGCGACTGGAGCACAGTGGTATCAACGGAACTCTGATTTACGCAGTGATTGTCAACTCCCCTCTATCTCCGAATACTTTAAGGAGATGTCCCAGTGCTACTTTCATAGCGTTGAAACTCATCCGAACCCCCTAGTGGTAAACGCAGCCAACTACGTCCCGATACCGAACGTCTCGCCGTTTCTCTGTAGACCGCGTAACGTATTAATAGAGCAACCGCGCTCGCTCGATCCCGTCGACCCAAACGTCACAGGCACATCACACACTGACACTACACCCACACCAAATGGGACAAACACTAATAGGACAACGGATGGGGCGCG